CCACCCAGAGAACACCCCACTGATCATCTCCAGCACCGACAGACCTGTCAGAACCGGCATCCGCAGTGAGTGTGTGCGTGAGTGTGTGTGTGTGTGTGTGTGAGCGTGAGTGTGTGTGATGAAGGTGGTGGTGGTGATGATGATGTGTGTGTGTCTAGAGTGGATCCAGCAGTACTCAGACTCGCTGATCAAAGCTTCATCACTACAGCAGGACATCGATCAGTTCATGAATGACTACGACACACAGAAGGAGGAGGTGAGACGCACACACACACACACACTCGCACACATGCACTCACTCACTCACACTCATTCACTCACTCACTTACATGCGCGCACACACACACACACACACACGCACGCACGCACTCACTTGCACACACACACACACACACTCAATCACTCACACTCACTCACACTCACAAACACACACTCTCACACTTACACACACTCACGCACACACACACTCACTCATTCACTCACTCACTCATTCACTCACTCACACGCACACACACTCACTCACTCACACTCACTCACTCACGCACGCACACTCACGCATTCTCACACACTCGCACGCTCACTCACTCACTCACGCACACATACACACTCACACTCACTCACACGCACACACACTCACACTCACTCACACACTCACTCATTCACTCACTCACACGCACGCGCACACTCACTCACTCACACGCACGCACACTCACGCATTCACTCACACACTCACACGCACACTCACTCACTCACTGACACATTCACACTCACTCACACGCACACACTCACTCACACGCACACTCACTCACTCACTCACTCACGCACACATACACACTCACTCACTCACACGCACTCACACTCACTCACACGCACACACTCACTCATTCACTCACTCGCTCACTTGCACACGCACACACACTCACTCATTCACTCACTCACACGCACGCACACTCACTCACACGCATTCACGCACACACTCACACGCACGCTCACTCACTCACTCACACACTCTCACTCACTCACACGCACACACTCACTCATTCACTCACTCACTCACACACTCTCACTCACTCACACGCACACACTCACTCATTCACTCACTCACACGCACGCACACTCACTCACACGCATTCACGCACACACTCACACGCACGCATTCACTCACTCACACGCACGCGCACGCATTCACTCACTCACTCTTTCACTTACTCACACACACACACTCACTCGCACGCACACACTCACTCATTCACTCACTCACTCACTTGCACACGCACACACACTCACTCATTCACTCACTCACACGCACGCACACACTCACTCACACGCACGCACACACACTCACGCACACATACACACACTCACGCACACACTCACAGACTCACACGAATGCTCACTCACTCACTCACGCACACATACACACACACTCACACTCACTCACTCACGCACACATACACACACACTCACTCACACGCACGCGCACGCATTCTCACTCACTCGTTCACTTACTCACTCACACGCACACTCACTCGCACACACACACACACACACTCACTCACACGCACACACTCACTCACACGCACACACTCACTCATTCACTCACTCACTTGCACACGCACACACACTCACTCACTCATTCACTCACTCACACACGCACGCACACACACTCACTCACACGCACACACACTCACGCATTCACTCACACACTCACACGCACGCTCACTCACTCACTCACGCACACATACACACACACTGACTCACTCACTCACGCGCACACACTCACTCACTCACTCACTCACACGCACGCACGCACACACTCACTCACATGCACACACTCTCACGCACACACGCTCACTCACTCACACGCACGCGCGCACACTCACTCACTCACTCACTCGCACACTCACTTAGTCACTCATTCAAGGCCCTGATATACTTCAAACGAAGTTAGTTTACGTTCTTGTTTGGGGGCAAAAAGAAGTTTGAAAAGGCTGAGCGACAGTATACTGTTTTCAAACAATCCGACACCCGCGCTGCTGGAGGCGGGGTGTTGATGTAAACGTGTGTCGTGTCGCGCCACTCGCACGTATGCCCTAAACACAACAACGATGCAATGACGAAATGTGTCTAGGTGTGAGACGGGCCCCAATGGTCAGAATATTATAGACAAAAGAATAATGATTAGCAGCAGTTCAGAGTCAAGTATCATGTTTGCAATACAAAAGGATCATTCCATTTCCATATTCAGTCCTTTATGGGAAGTGTGAATGTCTCATAGTCTGAAAACTTTTTTTTTTAAGTCTGAAAACTTAAGCATGATGTGAAAAAAATATTGGAGTCATCACAATAACACAAACATGATACTTTATTTTATGATTGTTCATGTATTTTAAACTGGGTAAACTAATGCACCTTTTAATATTTTATGTGGTGTCATGATTTAATTTTGATAAAAACAAAGGTTAAGTATTGAATGTTCTTTTGGCATTTCCTCTCAAATTCGCTTACAGAAAAAATGACTGCAGCAGCATGATTTTGTTCGAAATGAAGTCAAGTCAAGTCAAGTCACCTTTATTTATATAGCGCTTTTAACAATACAGATTGTGACAAAGCAACTGAACAGTATTAATTAGGAAAATAGTGTCAATAATGCAAAATGACAATAGTAAACACTCATTTTTCAGTTAAAGACAGTTCATCATTGAATTCAGTGATGTCAACATCCAGCTCAGTACAGTTTAAATAATATCTTTGCAATCATGTCAACGATAACGCTGGAAATGAAGTAAATGATCCCAGAATTTTACTGAAGTGGACTATTCCTTTTAAAGTATAACTCATGTTTTCCCTGTCTACTACCTTTCATGTAACAGCTTATGACGGTCAGTAGTGAAGGGTTTGGGACTGTGAACTTTCTTATGTTGTTATTAGCTAATTAGCATTGTCATGACTATAGTCTCCAGAGTGATTAATCACATGGCATTAACAGCTCACACGACTGGTTCCCATGAGCAAAGCTGACAGATTTAAAATTGCATACTTCAGAGGGTTCCTATGTGAGTCAAGCAATAATTCCCACCTTTTAAACCAAAGAGCCAATCACCAATTGGTAAAGTCATCAGATCACCGCTCCTCTTCCCATAGAAACAGTCAATCAATCACAAGTTAGGGAATGCAAATGTGCACTCGGCTTTACCAACCTGAAATATACATTTTTTAAACACTATTTGAGCATAAGAAACCAATTTATGGCACTTCATGACAAATGTTGTTGCTGATTTGTGAGCTGGGCCAGCAGTTTTTCTATAAATAACTGCCCAGAGGCATTGCAAATATGGACGCAGAAAAAACTGACTTTCCTTGTAAGGGACTTTGGTTTCCCCAGTTTTTATAGACCTCTTTGGTATAAAGAGACAAATAGACATGAATATTTTGGCAAGCATTTAAGAGTTGTTTAGGGGTCTACCACACCATTGGGTGCTGTAGGGACGACATATTTTTGTAGGTAAAAACCCAGAAACTAGTTTTTTTT